CGGAAACGGAAGGGAGGGGGAGGCCGGGAAAGAATGGCCGTGTGGAGAGGGGCCTGCGCGGCACCCCCCAGGGCCCAGAACCGTCCCAGGAACGTGGAGAAGGGGCCTTCGGTGGAAGTGGGGATGGGTGAAGGGTGAGGCCCCTAGACAGGTGCTGGGCTGGGGAAATCCTTAGACGTAGGTCCTAGCAGGCCGCCAGGGTGACCCAGAAAAGGAACGGGGAAAACTAGTCCAGGCCCTCTCCACCCCACTGGATTCCCTAAGAACTCAGGCCAGCCTCCATTTGAATAAAATCTCCCGAGAAGCCCGTCAGGCACAGGTCCTGGCAGCAAGGTCTCCAATCCCTATCACTGGCAAGCATTCCTATTCTAAAGGAAACCTGGGACTGGCATACCTAGTCATTCCCCAACGGTCCAACGTTCTAGCTGGGGAATGGCTAGGTATATAGTTTTCCTTGTGGGACTCGGCACCCCACATACCAATGTCATCTTTGGGTTCAGTCAGACCCCACTTTAGGCCTCAGCCCTGTGGCTTTGTAGCTAGGTCACTTCAGGGGGAACACAGGCCCACCTATTCTCTACCCAGTTCAGCCCATATCAGTCACTTGCCCTACACCCTGGGGCTTGTCTCCAGCTTCCTCTTGGGGGTGGAGGAGGACAGGGCTGCCCTGGTGCATTTATCTGTTCCCTGCAGGAGGCCCTAAAGTCCCTGGCCTTCTGACACAGGCCTACCTACAGGCAGGCAGGCAGGCCATCAGTAGGCCTAAATGGCCTCCAATCCAGATCCCATTTCCCCAGCCAGGACACAGCCAGTGATCCTGGGAAGAAATATATCACCACACCGGAGGACAGGCCTGATTTGCATAGTCTGCACGTTTAATCACTTTAAAACTTCTAACATTATCTCGTGTCCATTAAATAGAACCAACAATGCTGGGCCTGTTTAAATTACAAGGAAAAAAAAAATCACTGTGCACCAACCCAGTATCTTACAAAACCAGCCGGGCTGGCCACGAGGGTAGGGGGATGGGAGAGGAGGGGGCACCCCTGGGCAGGTGACTGGGTACCTGGAAGGGCTAGGGGAAAGAAAATGGGGCTCCCAAATGGGAGGGGACTGATTGTCCTAATGGAAGGGGTGCAAAAGGCACGTCAGAAGAGGTGGCTTAGGGGGGCATAACAGGTCAGTGCTTTCTCCGATAGGGCACAGTGTTGGAAGGGGCTTAGGTGCCACCACCTGCCCACCCCTGGCACTTGGAGAGCCAATGACCCATCAGCCCTTGGCACAAGCCCCATTTGAAACACAGATGTCAGCCTGCCCCTTCCACCCTGACCCCTTTTCCTAGAGCCCAACTGGCTGGCCTGTCTCTTTAAGACTTGGGGCTCAGCTACTTCTCACTCCTCAGCAACATGCTGCAGCCCCTACACCTCAGGAGCTGGGCAGCCAGGGGAAGAGCAGGGTGGACGTGGGTGTGAGAAGGTGAGTGTGAGAAGGTGGGTGTGGTCCAGCTGCTACCCCCATTAAAAATACAAAAAAAAAAAAAATCAGCATCTAAAGTGAAATAATCACAAAGTGAAAATATATCCTCAAACAGCTCCTGAGATCCCCACAGGGGAAAGCAGCATTGGGTGGGAGGCGGAAGAGGCCGGCTGGGCCACCGTCCCTCCCCACCACCCACCCAGGGGCTCCGGGACTGTGAGTGCCAACAGCCCAGGCAGCTCCGGGCTCAGAAAACAGGGACTTGGGCCCTGGTGGGAGGGGAGGGTGTTGGAGATAAGAGGGTGGTCAGGACACCAGCATGGGCTCCCCCCGCCCCAAGCTGCAGCCGTGGCCCATACCAGCCTGGCTCAGCCTGACAGCCAGCTGTTGTAGAGGCCTATAGCACAGAGGCAGGGGACACACACATGTGCACACCTGGAAGCGCCTGCCTCGCCTTGGTCCCTTCCTATGATTGCCACTTCTGCTGAGGCTCACCAGAGGAGCGGGACAGGATTGGGGATGCAAAAGCCCTTGGTGAGGTGACCTCTCCTTCAAATACCTCTTAGGCCAGCCTCCCTGCTGCCTGGATGGGGACCATTATTGCTTTAGAGGGACAGGGAAGGGGCAAGAGCTGCAGCCTGGGTAGTGAATCCCCAAAAGGACTGCCTCTCTTCACTCCGCAAGAACTCCAGCTGGGGCCTAGGCCTTGAAAAGCTGCCCTAAAGGTTTCACTCCTTTCTCCACATGGAGGGGTGCTGGGGGTGAGGTGAGGCCCTCCCCTGTCCCCAGCTGGTCCTGGGGCCCTACCTTGGGCAGCTAGGTGGGCCCAAGGATTGGATAGGAAGCAGTTTCTGCCCCTCTTGCCTCCCAGCTGGGGTCCAAACCCAGTCCCAAGATAAAAAAATACTTTGGTGAATTAAAAAGTGCCCAAGGAAGGGATTGGCTTGAAGGGGCGGGCAGTGGGCTCATCAAAGGGCGCTCTGGTCTTTGATAAAGGCGGTCCTCTCGCCCCGGCCCTCATCTTCTTCTGAGTCTGATGGGCACTCCTCCTGCCAGGCTTCAGGGGGGAGCCCCTTGTAGGAGATGAGGCCACGGTCCATGGTGTATACCTTCACCCCCCGAAAGCTGAAGCCTGAACGTAGTTGCAGGACCAGGAAGACAGTGACGAAGACCAGCACAATGAAGGCGCAGCTGAGGCCAGCCACCACCTCAGGCAGGTGAGAGGGCAACAGCCCAGCCTGCAGCCGTGGCTCTGCCTCCACCTCTGGGGACAGCCCTGGTGGTTGCTGCTGTTCAGGGGACTCGCGGCTGCTCTGGCTTTGCCTGGAGCACGTCTGCTCCACAGGGTCCAAGGAGGCATGGCTGGGGCAGCTGAGGCAGTCCGTGGGGGCTGGACCTTGGCATGTGGCACAGGAGGCATGGCAGGGGGCACACACACTGGCCCGGATGATTTCCATGTCGTTCTCAGTGCTATAGTGTGTATCAAGGACTTGGGGTGTGAAGCCTGGTGGGCAGTGCTGGACACAGCTTTTCTGGTGCAGGGAAAAGCCTTCCTCACACACTGCCAGCATAGAGAGAGAAAGGTAGTGTCAGCCAAATGGACCACAGCCACGAGCCACGTAAGCCCTCAGTCCCAGGTCCATGGCAGCCTGGTGAACCTAGACCTGCAGCCCCAAGCACAATTACCACAGTCCCTAGGATCCTCTAGGTCTTTTAAGACCCCTTATTCTCCTAGAGCAGGGCTTCAGGACAGGCACCCACTGTCCCTCACCTAACCCAGTGCATTGCTGGTCCCAATAGAACCCACTACTAACCAACACAGGCCTGGCTAGATGTGAGGGTCTTGCAGCCGCTGCTCTCAGGAGGTGTGGGGAGCCCCTCAGGGGCTGTGCCATATAGTACAAGAGTGAACTTGGTCAGTGTCCCTGTTAGAGAGAGGGGGAAGAAGCAAGGGTTAGAGGGCACTGGCATCACACCAGGTCCCTCCAGCTCTTTTCCTTGTTCCCCACCACTCAAGTATCCCCTATACCATAGTTGTTGGCTTCGCTGGTGTTTTCAATCTCCAGAACCCACTCGCCAGAAGGGTCCTCATCCCAAGAATGGGTTGTCATGAAAGCCCAGTCATTAAACCCATCTGCAGAGTAGTCATGTGGCCTGGAGGAGGGAGTTGAATATAGCCATTTGAGGGCCTTGGGGGATGCCAGGCCAGGTGACACCTAACAGACAAACATGGGCCAAACACCCTTCCCCCCATCCCAAACACCAATCCCGCCGGGCTGAAAATGCCTATTGGCTTGGCTGTTTCCCAGGGGGCCAAATGTTCTCAGCGAGGGGACTCTAGAGGGACAAAGGCACTTCATAAGGGAACACAACACTGATGTTAAATAGGTAGAAGCGAGGGATTCCTATGATATGAGGCAATCCCACAGGATAAAGCTGTCCCTCCCCAAATGCCAACAATGCCCTCAGTAGTATTCGATAGTGATTATTAGGGGTGTGGGTGAATGACTGAACGTGGGCTGTGAGGGAGAAGAGGGGATGGGCAGGGCGAGCAGGGTACAGGACAAGAACCTGGCAGCCAGGAGGGTGGAGCGGGTGCCCATGGGGCTGACCAGGTGGATGGCCAGGTCGCCACGGCGATTATAGGACAGGGTTAGCCGCGCCTGAGCATGCTCCAGCCGGGTGATATGGTTGGGCTCGCCCAGACATGCAGTCACAGTCTTGCGCACTTCTAGCCGTTTGCCAATGTCCCTGTGCAGAGAGTATCACGGTGGGGTGTCAATTTTGCCCAAAAAGACCAGGGGGCACCCCCTATAGCTTTCAGGCCCCACTTGCCTCCTCCCAGCCCAGGTCCAGTTCTCACTTGGGTTCAGTGAGGATGTCAATGATACACTTCCGCTGGGGGGCCACTGTTGTCCAGTTCTGGGCCAGGGCCACCATGGCACCTGCGTCCAATAACCCATAGCCATATGAGTGACTCACTGTGGGGACAAGTAAGGCAGGATCAGCAGGGAGGCAGAGAATGTCCTCCACTTACCTTGGAGTCCAGCTCCCCCTGGGCTGCCCTGCCCTCACCTTTCCGGCCCACACCATTGGTGGCCCAGTCATTAGCATTAAGATGGGCTGGCTTTGAGGTCTGAACCACCAGATGTTGCATGTCCCGCCAGGTGAGGTTCTTACTGCAAAGGAGGAAGGGAGAGGCCAGGATTCAATCTTTTTGGAGAAAAGCTGGATAGTAAATACTGCCCTGCATAGTACACTGAAACAAGGATGTTCCTCATCCACTTACTTGGCCTCTAGGGTGAGAGCAATGATGCCAGCTGCCAAGGGGGCAGAGGCCGAGGTGCCTGTGTGAGACTCTGTGCACTTCTGCCGCAAGTCAGTGGTCACCTGCCAGGAGACAAAAGCGTTCGGTTTTTGATGGGTACAGGGGGCTAGAAGGGCAACCTGCCTGCCTTCCTTCTGTCCACAGGCCCTGGATACTACCAATAGCATGGTGGGCCAGGGTGAAGAAACCTCAATTGCAACTGATGTCTTACTAACTTGCTATGGATAGACCAATACATGGCCCCTTCTGGACTTTAGTTTCCCAAGGAATAAGGAGGTTCACCAAGAGCTTGGAGAGCAATGCCTGTTTTTATGGAGACTCTACATGCCTAAAGGGCTTCACAGATAGCTTCACAGCTCTCAAGAGTCTTAGAGAGGTTCCGACTCACATTCCATGATGCCTGAATGGCTATCACCCAGCCACATGGGGATGAGAGGTAGAGAGGTCTAAAAGGTGACCCTGAGCAGAGCCAATAACAGCCTCACTTCCCCAGCTCCCTGCCCCATGCAAGACTCACAATCTGCTTCTCATTCTGATTGCCACTGCTGTAGGTGGTGGCCAATGTGGATGAGCAGGCCTCGCTGTACCAGGGCACATTGCCGAACTGTGTGGCACTGCTGATGGACAGCGTGTAGATACTGTTGGTGTAGCCGTCGCAGTTGCAGCTGTCATGTTCCCGGCCCCCATTCCCTGAGGCCCAGACAAAGATGGAGCCCAGCCCCCCGCGGCCCTGTGGACAAAGTGGGCTGGGGTCACTCAGGATAGGTACTTAGGGGAGATTCAGTTGAAGACACTGCTACAGACTGGGAAGGCTAGAGTCTCATTCTCCGGGAACTCTGGATCCAGATCCACCTCTCACATCCCCTGTGAGATCCCTGGTAGATAAGTATGTATACAAAATTTATCTCTGTGCACAAAATAAAAATAGACTAGAATAACTACCAAAATGCTCAGAGTGGTGATCTCCAGAGAGTAGTATTAGGGTGACTTTTATTTAACTTATGCTTTTTTTATCCTCCCTACTTTTATTCTTTTTAATAGGGCTGGGATCAAACCCAGGCCCTTGAACATGCAAAGCATGTGTTCTACTACTGTGTTACACCTCTAGCCCTTAATGTTTTAATAAAGACACTTGTGTACAATTAAAAATAAACACAGTAAATAAAAACAAAAGGAAGAGAGCTATGGAGAGAACCATGCTCAGCCAGCCCCAAGAGGCCTGGTTTCCAGGCCTGGTTTCCAGGCCTGAGCAAGGACCCCCACCTTACCTGACTAACCCCCCGGAAGAAGGCCTCCTCAGCAAGGCGGGCTGGCCCATCCACTGTCTTGCCGTCATCCTCAGGGCCCCAGCTGGCACTGTAGATGTGGATGTGGTTGGGGTTCAGGCCCAGTGAGCGTGCCTCCACTGCATCTGTCACCTCACCATCCAGCATGCGCACCCCTGGCCATAGAAAGGATCAGAAGAAGGATGCTGTGTGGGCCCACTACCACTGGCCCCTCTGGGGATAAACCCAGTCCCACACCCCAGGGGAGGGGCAGGAGAGGAGCAGGGGAGGGTAGAGGTCAGTGCTGGGAAACCCTGAGCCCCTAACTATTGCCTTTCCAAGAAAAGACACAAGGAGAGGAAGAGGACAGTGCTTTCTGCCCCTAGCCTCTCATTCTGGATTAGAAAGATTCTCAGTTCTCAGAAGAGTAAGGTGATCAAGGCCTGCCATGTAAGGACTCAAGAGTGGGTTGTCAGGATTTAGACTCCTGCTAATAGACACCCACCCCACCCCACAGTACCACCAGCACTGGGAGTCCAGCTCTTTGAGTTACTAAGAACCCCTATGGTCAGAAGGATCCCCAGTGGGAATGAGGCACGTGTGGCCAAAAGGAAAACAAGCAGAGTACATTCCTACCAGAAGGGCCCTCCCACTTCTAATATGGGATAGAGGGACCAAGGCCTACCTCCAATACGGGCGTTGTAGGCCACGCCCACACCACAGACACCGTTGTTGGCCACTGCAGCCACTTCTCCTGCACACCGTGTACCATGCCTGCCAGGACCAAAAGCAGAGCATTAGCGGAATGGACACACCACAGCAGATGCAGAGAGGCCAGGGCAGCCTGAGCAGCAGGAAGGATCAACACACCCCTCTACCCATGATCACCATCCATGTGTATGCACAGACCCCTGCCACACACACTCCACTGGGCCTGTGGCCATCTCCAACTGGACCAGGACTGTGGCACTGGACTATGGCCCTCAGGCTCATGAGGCACAAGATGCCTTAGGCACCTAGGCTCAGCCCATGTCCTTGGTGAAAGAAAGGAGAAGGGAGACAGAGGTCAGGGACCTGCCGTTTCTTACCTATTGTCATTCATCTGTGTGTACCGAGGCTGGGGGTCAGGGTCCTGGTCATTGACATCAAAGCTGGCTCCAGGATCCTGGAAAGGATGTGGTCATTGTCAGGAGCAGTCTAATCAAATGGCAGAACATGAGGTCCCCTTGATACTCCTCAGCAGGGGTTACTGCCTCCCTCCCCCACCTCCTCACATAATTGCCTGCCAAGTCTGGGTGGTTCTTCTCAATGCCATCGTCCAGGATGGAGACCACGATGCCGTGCCCTGTGTAGCCCTGGGCCCAGGCCTCCTTCACATTCAGGTCCCGCTGAGTGACACCAGACTGTGAAGACACCCAACCTGATTATTTACAAGATGTGGTTGATTGTGTAAGGTTAGGACTAATTTGAAGAATCCCTTCACCACCCCAAAACCTCATTCTCCACTCATCCCAGCTCTAGAAGAGTCACCATTGATCTTATGGCCTCTGTGAAATGTTAAGGGCTCTGGAGGGATGTGGTGAGGAAAGATCACCCAGCAAAGGAAAGAAAAAGAATTAGAGAAAGTCTTAGACATATCTGGAGGGGTCAAGTCCCCCAGAGGCCACATACCAGGTACCATTGCTGGGGAAACTTGGGATCTGTGGGCTCCTGGTACACATCCCGCTTGGACCTTCGCTTTGCCACCTGTTGTTCTAGCCACAGCACCTGGGAGGAAGCAAGGGAGAGATGATATAGCTTGGGTGAGGGGAGGAAGCAAGAGGAGCTCCTGACAGTGAGAAGGGTAGGGTGGCAACAAGAGGGGCTATGGTCATACTCACTTGAGGCTCCCTCTGCAGTCGGCTGTGCCGTAAGCGATGAGGTGACAGGGACCGCTTTGTTACTGCTCGATGCCAGAAGTGGTAATAGTCGCCGAAGATCTGTAATAGATCAGGGTAACTGAGATGGGCTTTCAGTCCCTAGGGGCTTGGGGTAGACAATGGCTGGAAGGGGAGGCTCACAACAGCATCTGCTTCCTGCCCAGGACCCTGCAAGAACAAGCAGAGGACTTTGCCCTCACTGGATATGCTGATTGAGCAACCTATGCCAAAAGCCCACAGGTAGGACAAGCCACTGCTTCTATCCCACTGGCCACCCAGAACTTGCTTACTACCTAGGTACCCTGAGAAGATAAGCCCAATTGTTTCAGTCCTCTGGTGTCAGAATCACTGTTCTCACTGTCTTCACCCCCAGGCAATGTCCTATGCCTAGGCCAGCAGGCCAGGACACACCTACCTGGCCCAGGTTGTGGAACCCATGTTTTCGTGCCACGCTATCAGCCACAGCTAGGCCTCCAGGAATGTGCACAGCCCACGTGTTGGTGAAGACCTTCTGGCCACAGGCATTAGCTGTCAGCAGCACCAAGACTCCTGCTGCTGCTACCACCCATAGCAACCAGGGCCTTAGCTCCATGGGGCGGCAGGAGGCTGGAACCCCAGAGCTCCCGTCTCCTTGGCCTGGTCACAGGGCTTTAGCTTCCACGTGCTTGCTCACTGCCTGTGGCCCGGGGCTGACTGGTGGGGGCATGGAGCCGAGATGGGCAGGGCTGTGGAGGAGAATTAGGGCTGCAGGCTCTGAGAGGAATAGGGGAAAAGGGGGAAAGAGTCAGTCCCTCCTCAGCCACATGCCTAAGGCTGCCCTTTCTACCCCATGGCTCAATCTGGGCCTAAAAGAGGCTCTGGGAAACCAGGGGTAGTGACATATACCTGTAATTAAAGCTACTTGAGAGGCTGAGGCAGGAGGATTCCAAGTTTGAGGCAAGCCTCGGCAACTTAGGAAGACACTATCTCTCAAAAAATAAAAATATCTGGAGGTATAGCTCAGTGGTAAAGCACACCTGGGTTCAGTCCCTAGTACAAGAAAGAGGGTGTGGGTGCTAGTGGAGGAGAAAGGAGTTAAACCAAAAAACCCCTGAAGAAATCTACCCCTCCAAGGTCAGTGTAATAAACTGACACATGAACCACCCTATAAACACACATCTCTTTCTTTTTTTTTTAATATTTATTTTTTAGTTGTAACTGGACACAATACCTTTATTTTATTTATTTATTTTTACGTGGTGCTGAGGGTAGAACCCAGCTCCTTGTACTTGCTAGGCGAGCGCTCTATCTCTGAGCCCCAGCTCCATCCCCACATACATCTCCTTCTTTCGCAACCAGGGAACAGAAGTGGGATGAAGAAAGAATATCAAGTTTTGAGTTCCTTTTTTTCCTCAAAATCAGAAACAACAAATAAAAATTCACCAAAATCAAAGTAAAAAAGATACACTATAAAGCAGTATGTACACACAATCTTATTTTGTTTTTTTAAAAAAACTATTTATACATGCATATTTATACATAACCCAAAACAAAATCTGGAAGGACACATGCCAAAATGTTAACAATGGTTCTCTCAAGATGAAGACAATTTCAAGTAACTGGTATTTCCTTCTTTGTATCATTGTATATTATCAACAATAGCGAGGTGTATTTTATAAAGGAATAAAAATGTTGGCTTTTTAAAGGTTTTTAAATGAACAGAGTCTACCAAACTCACTAGAGTTTCCTGGTTCAGCAAAACAGATTCAGCCCGAGGGAGTTACTCACAAAGCCCACAGTTCCTGGGAGGAAAAATGGTCAACCCAAGTTGGGATGGAGCCTGGGAGGACATGCTTGAAGCACAGGAGATCCCCCAGGCTTCATCTCCCTCTAGGGCTGAGATGGCAGCCATCTGCAAAGTCAGGGTGCCCAGGCTCTTTTTACTGTTTCCTGGGGAACTCGGGGGCTTCCCAGCCCTGCCTTGCCTGGGGGCTCCCAGCCACCCCCTTGCTTGCTCCAGGCCCACCACCTTGTGTAATCAGAGCTGGGCAGCCAGGGCAAACACTGAGGCTGAATCAATAGTCCATGTGTTGTTTTTCCTCCTTCAGCAAACAGACAGCAGGACCTCTGTGCCTGGGGCCACATAACTGTCCCCAAACAGGGACCCTGACTAACCAGAAGCCAAGCTCCTGGGGTGGGCAGCAGTTAGGGTAGTCTCAGTTGGGCTGCTGGGGGTACCCTGTCTCAGTGCCAAGCTCCTTGAGTCACTTTTGTGCCTGCTCACAGGGCCCCATGCCCCTACCATACCCTTGGCCCAGCCCCAAAGGAGGCCATAATGCCAGATGGCAAATGAAGGTACCCCAGCTCACACAGGCCCTGGGGAGCTGGGCAGGCAGGCTAGACACTGGGAACCCCTTGTTTCTTCAGGGGCTGTCACAGCCACAACCAGCCTTTCTGGCTGCTGTAGTCCCACCAGGCAGGCTGGGGG